CTTGTTCCACGCGCACGCCGTCCCACTGTACCGCCTCTGCACGCATCATTGGCACCGTGTTGTGTATCCTTGGCGTGGCAGCGTGCAGGCCTGGACACGAACTGGGTCGTGCTTCTTGGTCGCGGGAATGAAGGCAAAATAACAGGGTGGTATATGCACATGCCTGTTGATGGAGTTGTAGTCTGACACCAACTTCCTCAAGTAGTTCTCGCCCCATCTTATTACTGGCGCGTATCATTATCCGCGCGCCCATGAAGTCGAATTCATGGCCTTCTTCCCGTGTGGATAGAAATCTTGGACATTGGGTCGCCTCTCCACACTGCCCGTTTGTACTCCGCTATTTGGGATCTAAGTAATCGCCCGGCCAATCAATGTTTCACCAAATCCGTCACAGTCACTATGAATAGTATCATAAGATAATTTTATTCTGCACCCATGCTCTCGTAACTGGAGTTTATGTCATATATCTCTGTGGCAGATATGGGCCCGGATTGTGGCTATACTTGACCACATCAATTACTGGCTTTTCAGAAGTTGCATTTGCTATGCGCACTCCATCTGGACTGCGAACTGTTTTTTGACCGCAGTAAAGGCAATCCAATCAAATTTCGACTTGCTCCTAGTGTCTTGCGAATTATGCAACTGTTCTAGTAGAAACTGGCAACTCTCCCCGTCAGTATTTTTCGGAATACTGTCTTGTGAATTTTTTCAAAATTCAAAATTTATTTTCATAACTGAGTAGACATTCTTTCTTAGGCGGTTACATGTCCCTCATGGCTGCTGCACGCTATGCGGATACGTATAGGGCAGCCATCGCTGGGTCTCCGGTAGTTGACTGGGCTCATTACGACACAGCCTACACAGAACGCTACTTGGGCCTACCGAGTGAGCATCCCGATGCTTATACGTAAGTGCTTTGCGTATTTTTTGTGTATATTTCTAAAAAAACTACATTTTTTACTGAGTATTAATGAGTAAGCAACTTTGTTTTTATTAAACTAGCCTTGGGAGCGTGCTGTCCTACATCCAAGGATTCCCAAATGATGCGCCCTGCCTCATGATATCTCACGGTGGACAGGACGAAAATGTGCACTTTTCTCATACCTCTGCCCTATTGCAAAGGTTGGGCAGCCTGGGAAAGCCCTATGAGTTCTTCGTAAGTACTTTTGTGCAACTTTCTCGAAATTAGCCATCGGTTGTTGCTTTCCCAAAGCATTGGGCCAACTCCCCCCTGTTTTCGGTAGGGTTTTCTGTCCCTGATCGATTAACTTCACTTAGCCAGAAATTATTATTCCTATTTCTACTGTGGTAATACTGTCATTGTAATAGATTTCGTTCAAATACTTTGCATTTTTACAAGTTAGTTAAACCCGTAATTTGGGATTTTCCAAAAGGATTATTGCTATAGTTGTTCACTTCAACCAATTTTGCTACAAGGGGAAGAATGTACTTTCAGGGACCTTAAGGTTTCTTGCTCACCCCTAGATAGTAAGTTGCCCGTCTCTTCTATAGCTTCTCCTCAAACGGATTGGACTGAAAATAGCCAATCTGAACGGTATGCTGTGAATACGCAGCCCTTCAATGAGTAGAACTTGCCGGTTTGGAATACAATTTCTTCGTGGCTGCTCGTGTTTTCCTACCCTCTGTGTTGGCGTTCTCGGCGACGTTAGTCAGGCAAGCATGCGCTCCTTGCGAGTTCTAAGTACCTTGCCGGATCACAACAGTCTACCAAGTCAGCCTGTATTTATGGTCTAGTGAGGTATTTGCAAAAGTCGGAAGGGCATATAGCATTCCTGGCAAAGGCAAGGTCGACTGGAATGTGGCCATTTCTGGCTTATTAGGCGTCATCAGCCAGTCCTACCCAACTCCATTTAGCGCACTTCCCGAAGCTCGAACTCTAACCATTGAGCCACCAACTCGTCCTGTCAATTTAGGTCGGGAGATATTGACACTTGTTGGTGAGCGTTCAGCGATCACTAACGGTGTGGCTGCTGCCAGAGCCCGGGAAACAAGACCGAAGGCAGAGCGGGAACAATGAGTTCCGTTAGCAATTGGTGACCGTTCATCAACGAGTCGGAAGAGTGTTTTATCTTGACCATCGTTTATACTGAGAAGAAGACGACTCGATCGCTGGGATAATAATTTTATTCGCCTGACGTTTCCACATCCCTTACGGATTCACCATGAGAGATATTAGCAGAAACGGGTAATA